TATGCAGAATTAGATCACTAGTATCTGGAATTTTATTGAAACCCTTGCTTAAAACAGATTTGTTGACTTTCCTTTTGTCACAACTAAACGATATTAACTCAACCAATCAAATATACTGTTAGATATGCTTCCCCAACTAAGGATATTTAACAAAATGGAAAAAGATTACTACCCCTTGACACAATCCTACATTATTTGACAAAAATGCCACACTTACGCTGCTAGTTGAGCTTTACTCTTTGTACCAACTGGAATACGACGAACAACCACAGAAGAATTCTTGGGTATCATTGTCATCTCATCTTTGTATTCTACCATGAAAGTTAAAAGAGGTATTATCTATAAATGGCCTTTACATGCAACATCAAAGTTCGCAGTATGAGAGAGAAAAATTTCATATCAATCACAAGGAAACAATGTTTTACTCGTTGCTAATATTTTGAAGACAAACAGTAACGCATAAATTTTAATAAACTGAAACGTAAAACAACCTTGAACCAGATTTCAGCATGTTTTTGCCTGCTCTTGCAAGTTCAAAAAATTCTAAAACGTTCCGCCAAGCTTCTTCGGGTTAGCGATAGGTGAGAATTAGTAAAAACTTATTTTAATTCATTGAAGAGTATATAAACGGAAAATCGATCAAAAGATTGTGTAATTTTAAACGTACGAAAGTAATCCTTCATTTCTAACTTCGGGAACTGTATGATTCCACGAGTTTAAGCTTACACTCAGTTGAGGAAACCATTGTGAATTAATTACGGAATAAAACAACAGAGAAAACATTTATTTGACTAAACTTCAAATATAACTTTAATACTGAATTGATTCGCTACCTAACTAGACACCACGTCAAAATAACCGCTCACCTTCTTTCGTCTGAGCATTGGTAACCTCCAGGTCAAAATCACTGTTCTTTCCGAATTTTTTCTGAGTAATGATTGACTGTTTAAGGTCGGCAAGCGAAATAGAAAGTCCGTCGAATGTAATTGTGTCATATTCTAAAGCACTTCGGAACTTATAGTGAATACAAGACATTAGGATACCGACAAAATTCTAACAAAAAACGAAAAAACGTTGAACGAAATAGCACAAACGAAAGAGTCACCTCAACAAGGAACACGAATCAGTTCAACATTTTCTGAAGCTAGATAAGGCGGGGAAAACGAAACATAATGGAAAATTCACTCGCATAGAAAGAAAGATAAATAAATGAGTGAAGCTATTATAAAGGCAAAATCCAACAACTCTAAACTACCTAAAGAAATCTGCTGAAATAAGAAAACGGTGGCCGAAACCTCAACGCGACACGACACGAGTAATCACAGTTCGCACAGCTTTTCGGGAATTTGGCAATTCGGATATCAGCGAAAGGTCACGAAGGATGACGGAAGCTGTCATAAATATTCGGGAAATGCTGATCTCGCGTGTATTACCTTTTTGACGGCATAGGAATGGTTGGGACCGCGGTTGATCACTTGGTTAACCTTTAAAGCTCTGTGGTGGAGATAAACTGCAAAAACCAAGCCTTTGTCGTCGTGTCATGTTAATTCTTAGGAAGATTCCAGAAGGTGACATCTGCCGGATCACGTTAAAACAGCTGTGAAGATATACAGTGTTTCGCCAGCGCACAATATCATTCTTGAAGTTGACACAACTTGCGTTAATTTAAAGTGAAAATCATGTTTTCATTTCTCTTGAGACGAACTCTGTCACAAGCACGTCATGCTTTGCGCTTTGAATCACTTCAATTAACCAAAACTGCATCACTTTCGAGCCACATTAAACGAGAACCGAGCTCCACAAGTATCGGAATCACAAAGGTCATGGTTGTATTGGTTCCTGGGATGTACTTTGGCGGACGACTGGGAAGAAACTTGGCTGAATTTTTAGACGAGTGGAGTATTTTCAATGCTGAAGACGACGATGAAGATGACTAGGAATTTAACACGGTACGTGGTCATTAATTAAATCAAACTTCATTTTACAAATAAATTTTGTGGTTTTGACTGATTCTGTCAATGGACATATTTAGCTTATTTTTAATAGTTCATAGTTATAGTGTACTAAATAATAATGAATTGTTTGCAATGCCCTAAAACACAAGGTTCCTGAAATATTGAAATTATTCTTTAAGGACTATACATGCTGAAATTTTAAGTATGCCAGGAGCATGTTAATCCAATTAGCATCTTGTGCAGTGAGTTCGAAATAAACGTATGTTTCTAATTAACAGTGAAAAAACTTCTCGTGGAATTTGGGATAAACAGGTAGACGTGGAATTGTGTTTTTAAAGAATTAACGTTACCAACTGGTTTTCTTACAGTCTTATTCCTTTGGGGCGCATTAAACAAATCCTATTGTTTGAATTAATGGTATGTTTATTAATATGATGTTGTTAACCAAAAGCTTGAAGTTTAAAATTTATTTTAATTTTTGCTTCTCCAATAAACAAATTTTTTTAGTTTACAATGTTTTATTTTGAAGAGTGTAAATAATTTCTTGGTCCCTCTCTTTTTCATTTCAGCTTGTGCCGGTGATGTGAAATGGTAATTTCCTACTCTGCACACAAACTTTACCACATGAATATTATATTTTAAGACACAAGGAGAAGATCCCAACAAGATTGATTTCTAAAACCAATAATATTTTTATAAGAACAAATCTGTATTAATTTTTTTTATTTTTAACAGAAATTTTATGCTAAGGGTGGCAAATTCATATTTAACATGCATGAGTAAGTTTTAGTTTTTTTACTCTGGCTCTACTGTAGATTGAATAGCTGAATCCTAGTTTATGTGGATTGAATAAAAAATTAAGTGATGTTTGTGATGTACAATTTTTGGCACCAGTGTTATGTAATATGCTTTATTAGCATACTATTCGGATGGCACTGTGCACGTAATCCCACAGAAAACCATGACAAAAGCTGACATTCATCAGTGCTTTCAATAAGAATTGGCACCTGCCAAAGCTCCAGTGGGTATTCTGTTGTGAATCCCAGGGTATACTTTGGAAGCTTTTAAGCAAACTCATGAGGTGAGACCTAAAACACCTCAAGTTATTCTGGAGTTCTTTCAGTCAACTTTTACCTTAAGTTTATAAACAAGTTTTGATAAAAATGATTGATATTGTCTTATAATATATTCCAGCATACATTTCCCAGCAAAAAAAATATTTTGAGTTTCCAATAACATACTGACTCAAATTTCAGTAACCAGTAACCATATGTCCTTTCAGAGGACTTTTTGAGTGAAACTCAGGGAGCATGCTTGCATGTCAGCAAGTGGAAGATTTTGATCAGAAATTACATGATTAGTTAACCAATTGCTATAATGGTAATTAATGAATGATTAATGACCATCTACAGAAGTTTAACAATGAAAACTCTCTTTGAAGCCAGTTTATTCTGAATGGAAGTTGTGGTACAACAAGAGGGAAATTCTTGCTCTACTAAGGTAGCCACCTTCTTCAAATCTTATTGAAAGGTATGAATGCATAGGGCTGGATGGGTTGACATGGGTCCAGAAAAAGCCATTTGGCCCTGCACTTACACAGCTCTTTTGTACTTCCTGAGAATGTGAATTGAAATTATGGCCTTCAACTTAAATTAAAACAAACAAGAGAATGAGTAAGGCTTCATTATGAATTATGAGTTTCTTGAAATGACTCAAAGAGTAGAAGGAAAAGTATCTACTGCAGAATATTTTTTAGTTGAGTTGCCCATTGTGTACCCTTCTTTTATAAGCAAGTATATCCTATTTAGTTTGAAACAAAATTTCTACATTTTAAACTCTAAGTGGTCACCTGATAAAGTGCCTATTGACTGACTTTGGTCAGACTGGATGGAGAAATATTTGGCTTTGAGTCATGACGCACAAGCCTTACTGCCCTTGGTCTGTACTTCATGACCTAGAGCCAAATATTTTCCTGCCAAGTCCTTCCACTTAGTCAAGTACATGGTAGTGGCTAAATTATTGGGAAGGGCATGATTACAAAAACAGAGGATTTAATTTTTAGATATGCCACACTGCAGATTTAGTTTCTAAAAGCCTAATAATCAAATGTCAAATGCCTTAATGTTGATCATCAGTTATCATTTTTAGCTTTCAACTGTGAATGGCAACACCTCCATTGAGACACTGATTTAAATGTAGCATGGACTGTGATTACAAATGGCCTTCCACTTTATTTAATTTTTAAAATTTTTATTTATTTATTTATTCATTTATTTATTATAATATGTTTTAGTCATCCTTGAGTAAATTGGCATTGGACCCAGGCAATTGCAACCCAACATTAGTCAGTATAACAGAACTTAAAAACAAGCTCTTAGGAAATCCTTGCAAAGTTTTTTAGGAAAGCCCCTTTGAGGACCACTTCAGCCATTTCAGTAGCAAGGGTGATCAAGGAGGAACCTCTATTTTATTCAACATATTGTGAAAATAAAGGTGATGAGATACTATATCAACTTGGAGATATTGTTTTTTGCTCAAAATTCTCAGAGCTAAAATTATAAAAACCTATGGCAGACAGAGATAAAGAGTTGATTTTTGGACATCAGGAGTGACTGGTTTAATTTTCTAGATGCTGAAGAGCTTACTCATTTAAATTCTGTCACTGTGTTAAAATGTTGGTCCAAACACGTCATTTCCTAAGTACGCTATGATATGGCAGTCCAATGACATCATTTGAAAGTACAATTTCCTGTACGCATATCGAATGTCTGAGGAAACTGAAATTTTTAAATTGAATATTATGTTTCTCCTAGGTATAGGTTTGGAAGACTATTCATAATATTATGGTACCATTATTTCAAACAGATTTTCTTATTTTACATGGAACACGTATCATTATTTTGTTTCGTTTGTTTTTCCTATTATTCCTTAATTTTCGCGCCTCATCGCCTGATTGCTTGTAAATAAGCTGCTAATCGAGTAATCCTGGAACCTATTCTTCTCTCCCCAGTCTTTCCTCCGGCGCTAAAAAATTTTCAAACAACAATCTGCCTCTCGTCGTTAATGTTAAATTTATTCGGGGATTTCTTGTGAAGCGACTTCTTGGCGGATGATAAAGGACTACCTTTATTCTGGAGGTGATGGTTTTGTAATAGAGCACCCAGTTATTTCGACAGCGATTATCACGCAATACCATTATACGGATCAGAAAGCGCGTTGTTTTGTCATGCCTCTATCAATCAGCTAGAATGTGCGTGAACTTCATCTACAAAAGCAGTATTTTTCTTTTCAGCCTTTGATGAGTGTATATTCACGCTACAATTGTGTCTTCAACAGCGTACATATCTGTGTATTTGTGTGGGTACTTACGGCATGAATAAGGGACGAAATTCGAGCGCCTTGCAATCAACTGTACATTTTTTATCGTCGAGTACCTTGTTGGCGAATGGTTCTGACCGAAAACGTTCTGTAGTTGAGATTTGTGGTTTTATGGCTGAATTGTAAAGAGATTATGTCTGAAGAGACCAAAGAGAGCTTAGGAGTGAATTTTCGATCAAAGGAAACAACTGAATGTACATCGAGCACTACTGATGCATTCCTCGTCCCGTTTGGGGAGCTCGACGAATCGCCGGTTGAACAACAAGACCTTAGCGGACTGCTCAGGCAAGTGATGTGTTTGTTTCGGCTTGTTTTGTTGATAAACTTGTCCGCAATTTGACCTCGACCGTGTCTATTCAATACTGATATTTTGTTTATTGAAGTCAGGCTTTGTTAGCGGTATTTTGTCATTCTGTTAACACAGGATAGGGGAAAGGCGTACCGGAGCTTTTATCAACGGATTTGACGGCAAATTTCTTTGCGACGAAGCTAGCAGTTCGTAAGTACTATTTGCTGTCATGGTAATTAGTCACATATATTTCAGAGCCAGATTAAGTTGGAATAGTGGCCTATTAATAAAATGTCTCCGGGCGATATTGGAACGATGTGTAATTCACCACCGGTTGTTTCCCGTAAATTTGCACCGAATGTTCTGTGGCATGACCAAGCTGTCAGTGACTCAAAAAAGTACGGTAGAATAATTAAATTTTAATGATTCCTTAATGATGAAAGCTTAAACCATGGAACCTTCGAATTGAAGATTTATAGTGATATTACTACAAATGTGCTACAATCAGAAAGAGAGAACTATGTTTTGACTAGTCTCAAACACAAAGAAAGCTAATTTTTCTTAAAATTACAACTTATTTATTTGCCTCATCTAGAGATAGAAATAAATTAAACAGGGCACGTTCATACTCAGATTCAAACTTTAGATTGGCTATGTATGTAATAAAATGAAATTAGAAACTGAAAGGACAAGTGATTTTTAAGTGGATGAATGCCTTCATGCTTTGCAACACTGCAATTAATTCTCCAATATTCTTTTTTTGGTCAAATTTTTAAACAATCTGTCATGAGATTTTCAAAAGTTTTTGTCTCTTCAGATTTTACACATTTTATGAACTGTATTCTGTAGTTTTTGTGTGTATAAATATACACAGTTTGTAGGAAATATTGAGTTTGTAATTGATGAAATTCACAATATGAAAATTACATGGATCAATGAACAATAGAAAAGCATATTTATTAAATGTAAGTTCCTAGGCATTGAAATCAATTACTTATTGAAACATTACAATTTATTTGCATCATTGTAATATAAGAATTCCTCCTTTTTTTCTTGTTAACATTATTCATGTTTGTAATAGTAATTCAGAAAAAAACATGACAGAGGGTGACACCAAGAAAACCCATGTGTTAAGTCTGTTCAATTTAGCTTCTATTGTAATTGACAGCTTAAGTAAATCAAATGTTTTAAGCCTTTTTCTTCCTAAATAAGCTCTGCTATGGTTAATTTCCTAAAAGAAATTATTAATTGTAAATATTTTTGGAGACAAAAAAAGGTGTTACACTCAGTTGTTTGACATGTCCTTTAAATTTACTTGGCTCTGTTGCATTAAACAAGCTTAAATGGACACAATTTTTAATGTATACAGTTCACCCAAACATAAGCTACACTAAAGCCTCTCTGATTATTGGCTCTTGGGTCAGAGAGGACCCAGTTTTAATATCCGTGTCTTCTTAATAGGATGTACATTGAGATTTATTTGTGTTTTACAAGGATTTCCATCCCTGAGAAAAGCTGTAACTACATGCTTGTTAAATCACATTCTTTTTTGTGTTCAATATTGCCAATCAGCTGCTGACAGGTCACTCACTTTTCACCTCATTCTGTTATGTGAATAAATGAACAAGATAGCATTTACCAATCATTCTCAATCCAAGGTTGTTTTTCAAATTTTCTTGGGTATTCATTTAATATGGGTCAGCTAAGCACTGCAAAAATTGTTTTTATTGGTCAGTTAATTGTTTGATATACATTTAATATTTTGGAATGGATTTTATTGATTGGCATAGAACTTGATTACACAAACTCTGCTTTAAAACATTGTCCAGTGCTAAATTAGCAGCTCACTATTAATTTTAATGTAGAATAATTCTTTTATTTATCAAAATATAAATGGAAATGTTGAAAGGATTTTAGTCAGATCTTTGTTTACTAATTTCTTGTCAAGGACATCAAAATGTCTTTTCAAAAATATTGCATCAAGCTCCATTTGACTGCTGTTGAATCATGTACTCAGAATATAAGTCCAAGGGCTAGACTGAAATTTTCTCTAAATGCAAGACATTAAACAGATATCTCCTTTTTCTAGGCCCCGGAAACCACATCCATTGCGTAGCCCAGTGAACAGCACCCAGACCTCCGTTTCAAGGAAAGTAGCTGTTACTTCTGTCTCAGAGAATACAGGGAAAACTCTGACATCAAAAGACTATAGGAATTTCTCCAAGGCACCTCTCAAGTTGAAGTTTCCATTATCTCCTAGAGGTAATTCATAATCTTTGCTTATAAAAATAAAGCAGTATTTATAATAATGTTATGTTGCTTGTGTTATGTAAGGGTTAGAGGTTGCATGATTATTTTTTTTTCTTCTATTAGTAAAATAACATTTATGATTTATCAACTCTGGCAAACTCATAAATTATGTAGTAATAAGAAATTTATGTGTACATTCAAACAAATCTTGAACTGCTTGTTATTTCAGAAGATGTGTATATTTATTTAGCAGTGCACTGTTTTTATGCTTTCATTTTCTGAACCAAAAATGTTACAAGTGTTTAACAACTATTCATGGAAGTTGAGGTGGGTAGTGGGGGATATTTACTGAGCTACGAACACTAAGGTTGGTTAAGAATACAGCTATTTTGTTTGTAAGGGTGACTTTTATGTTTAAACTTGATAAAAAACAAAAACAAAAAAAGAATAAGGTGGCCCCAAAGAATGAACAACACAATGTAACCTCAACAAGAGTGAATTTGAAATCACCTAAAGAACAATGTATACAACATAATATTCTATTGTTTTGTTCCTCTTGTATTCACAAGTATGTCTGCATTTATCCTGTGTTCAATTTAGTCCTTTTGCCTGAGGTAATTTGTTTCACTTCGTAAAATTCATTGATTACAGGTATAACCAAATTACCTCAAGTTTCAAAATTGTTGCCTGCACTTTTTCCTTTTTTGCAACAACCTTTCTGCAAACAGCTGTACACTGAAACAGTTATATAATATAGCACAAAAAGATGATTTTAATTTATTTATTTCTACAATGATTACAATATATTTGGGCGCAAGTTTCTCAGAGGTGAAAAGTAAGGGATATATTGGGAGTTTCAGTTGCCAATCAGAGTGCGCCTTTATCGCTTTACACTGTTTTAGACATATACCAAATAACATCATACCATGCATAAATGTTTTGATAATTTTCAACTGCAAACTCTCCTCATTCTGTAAATCCAGTGCTGCGCTCATGCAAACTGTGCCATCAAGCTAGCTGGGAGGAGCAGCTTATAATCAGAGTTCATGATATACCCATAAAAGAATGAACGTAAGAAATAAGATCAAAAGAAATCCCATGTTTTGGACGCAAGTATTATGATTTTTGATTATAGAAAGATCAAACTTTACCCCTGCAAAATGACTTGTGGGGGACATAAAGTGTGATGAAATATTTATCCCTATTAGCCTTAGTATAGCAGCAGCTTATTTGACACTTAATTTATGCAATAGTGTTGGTTTTTTATCTATTGATAAGATATAATGGGTGTTCAATTTAATTAGCCATCATTTGAAGCAATTGGATGTTACAAACATTTTAATTCTAATAGAAAATCTATTTTTTTCTCTGCTACTATTTGTATTATTATTAGTCAAAAAATTTTAAATGAATTACTTACTCGATATGGAAATGACACTGCATGTAATCAGTCTGACACTTTGAATATTTTGAGAACTAACTTACTAACATGGCTCACAAAGACTAGACTTAAAGTATTTAAAAATGCAACAATAGAATAAGGCCAATATTCAGGTATTTTAGTTATTTTATATGGTTAAATTATTCTAGATGAAGTAATTTGAATTTGCATCAGATGGCAATCCAATAATAGCATGCAGGCTTATTTTGTCTAGGGTTGTGGCAAAGTGCCAGCTGCCAGCTAAATTCAGCAGCTAAATTTGGTGGCTAATTATCTGGGGGCTAATTTTAATGGCTAATTTTGCCAGCTAAATGTGGCAGCCAAAAGTGACTTCTAAATTTGGCAGCTAAATTCAGCAGCTACATTTGCTCTCTAAATTTGCTGGCCAAACTTAAATTTGCTGGCCAAACCTAAATTTGCTGGCTTTATTTTCCAAACACAGAGTTGGCCATATCAGACCGTGAAATTGTGCCTAATACAGGTGCCAATGCAACTAAATTTTTCACTTTGGCGACCAAATCCTGAAAATTAGTCACCAAATTGGGAACTAGAATGTTTCATCATAACCTTACTTAGAGATATAGTGAATTAAAAAGATTTGCAAACTAAAAGGTAAATCCACAGCAGACTTCCTTGTTAAGTTTGTTTCCAAAACGCAGCACATGCATCTCAATCAAAACTGGATGCCATCTTGGATTTAAGTGAGCTTGAATGTTGCATATCATCCATCCTAGTGTCCACTTTGTAGCACGTTAAAGGTCTTTTCCCTAACTTAATTTCTAGAATGATGACAGCGTTAAAGAAAGGTTTTGTTTGTCTTTGAAAATGGCAACCAACTTTCTTTGAATTGGCTACCACTTTGAAGAATTTAGGAGCCAAGTGGCTATCAGAAAAAAAATTAATTTCACACCCTGCATATGATAAACATACTTCCCATGTCAGTCAAAGTGAAGACTTGTTACAATTTTCCCTTAATTTGTGTTTTGTAACTACAGCAGCAGCATGGAATCTTGAGGAGGATGAAGATAGTGGAATAGCTAGTGGAAGTACTGATGGAGTGCCTTTTGGTTACACATCGGGAGGCTTGTATTATTCTACAGATGTACATCTTCAAACACTTCACACACTGGTAGGAATTGCAAAGCTTGTGTTTATTTAGCTATTTTTATGAGATCAGAACAAGTCCTTGACTAATGATTATAGGTAGGGAATGGTATTTTATTATTGGCTTGTTAATTTATAGGGTAAATGTAGGGGATCTACAAAATATTGTATACCTATTCTATTACTTCTTGAAATTAGCATGTAAACTTCACAGCTTTGGTGGCTACTAAAAATGTTTTACAGGAAGTTTTTGACTTTTACCAGTTCTGTTATCTTTTGCTTAACTCCGCTAAAAATCTTATTTGTTAAAATATGATTTATTTTAAGGAGTTTAAGGGCTTCTTGATTCACCCAAATGAAAATCAAAGCTAAAATTAAACCACAAGGCAGAAATAAAGTAGTCAATAATACAAGCAAGGGTAAGCGTAGAGGTGGTGGACAAGTGATTGAATTAATTATTCACTCTAAATGTCAGGGTAATGAAGAGGAAGCTGTAACTCCTCCTCTGGAGAAGAAGCAAAGGTAATCTTGACTAAAATAGGGTTTTACTTCATTTAGGTCTATGTATAGCACTTGTGACTATTAATTGTAAAAGGAGACATGATTGGTGCTTTTAGGTGATGGAGCAAAATTAAACACTAAAATTACTACTTCACTTAGAATGAACAATTTGTAATGTAGATTAAAGCTAAGTTCACCAACTTTTGCAGTGGTTTGAAGCAAACAAGAATTAGTAAACTGGCCAGACGGCTCAGCCAAAGAAAAGAGAGAGGGAATATGAGGTAATAGAGTACTAGTCAGGCTTAATCATGGCCTTATCTACAAAATTCTATTACCTAATACAGCTATGATTTATTATTATTGGATACTAAGTTGGTATACATTTTCCAAGTCTAGCAAAACTGTGAAATTTCTACACATGAATTGTGTCTTTAGACTTAACCCTCAACAGTTCCATGAGTGACCAAGATAGAATTTCTCCTTGCGATATCAATACAATTTGAAGCAGACAAGTAATAGGAAATGTAAAGAAAAATATCAATAAGGGTTAGTCAATCCAATACCAAGTTTTCCAAACTCGCATGATGAGAATTGTATGGCAGACTGTGAGGAGAATAACTAATGAGATCTTGGGAATGAAAGGGTAAAAACATCACTAATGCCATAGCACCTGATGCGTGTATAGGTGCACACTGTGCATGCACATATGCATGCACTGGTTGATACATTCATTCAACCTGTGATTGAAACACGAACCTCAGAAAGAACACATGAGATTGTTTTATTTGTGAGCCCTAAAATGACTTCAAGTCTGTGAAGAAAAAAAAGAGAAAGTATACAGAGGAGTAAAGGGAATTGATAGCTTGGCAGTAAGAGTCCCACGTCTGTTTTGTGTTGTGGGCATTGATTTGTGGGCATAAGTTTATAGGAGTTTTCTCTCCATTAAGACTGGGACATCGCTTTATGAGAAGAGTACATTTAATATTTTTTATTAAGTTGAAACCTTTGACACACTTGAACTTAGAAAATGTTGATTTTGTTCCTCATAGGAATCAAGGAAGATCTCACAGTTTAGAAGATATTTCATCCCCAGCAGGACCAGGAGCAATCCATGGAAACAACAAATCACCAAGGTTACAGCGCACCATGTCAGTTAATCAACGTTCCTCCCCACGGACACGGCTCTCTGTCCAAGAGAATAGATTCAGTTTTAATAACAAAGGTACTTGGGGGCAGTGATGCAGTAAAGCATTGTATATTATACACAAGCTGAATTAAGCACACATTTTGTTAGTTCTTATGATCTATTGGAGAACTGATGTATAGATGACCTCACCATGCACAATTATTTGCCTCTTTATTACACAAAAAAAAAAAGATTCCATATTGCTGTGTGCTTGTTCAGTAATATATCACAGGAGACATCAAAATGTGGTAAAAATCAGTCACACCCTCAGCTGTGTCTTGTGTGTCACACCTTTGTCCTTACTATGTTTCGACATCATCTGGGATATATTAATGAACAGATGTGCACCAAAGTGGAATCTATTTGTTAATTGTACTAACCATGAGGCTTGGTGGTAATCCATGTTTTTTTTTTTTCTGTTACTTTTGTTTTTTATCTTTGTTTGTTTGTTTGTTTTTTTTTTTGAGAGCAAATTAAAGTTAAACTTAATATGTAATAGCTCTGTGGTACAGTAAGTGATAAAGTGTCACTGATGTTGTTTGTTCCAAATTAAGAATAGAATCTAACTTTTGATAAAAGTGCATGCCCGAATATTCAATAATGATAGCCACATGCAGAGCTAAATTAATGACAACCACAGATGAAAAAGAATATTTTCAGTAAACTAAATCAGCAGTTCAAGGTATTCTAATAATAACTACTTAACTTAATTAAACTGTGATTGTTATTGGTGTTGATTGTGAATTCTGATTTTTTAAAAGATGTAAGAGAAAAATCTAAGAAAAAGAGAGACACCAGTTTAGATGGTAGGTACTCAATTTGTCTCCATCATCTGAATAAACTGTTTCAGAGGAAATACAAATCTTTTCATAGCACTAAGCTCAACTACTTTCCTACCTGCCTTTTGGCAACCTGGGCCCAGTTGTTCAAAGGCCAATTAGTCCTAACCCAGGGTTAAATTTCAATCCAGGTTTCCTTATTTCTTTGTTCAAATTCCTTTTAGGGAAAATTTCCCCATTGTTTTTCAAATTACAAGCAAAAAGATTTCAACTGAATTTCCTTTTGAAGCTTTCAGACCTCAAATCAAATTCCACTGTCCCAGGGTTATCCTAACCCAGCTTTGAACAACCTGGGCCTGAATCATAATATGGTCAGAAGGTATGAAATTTTAGTCCAACACTCTGAGCTGCAAAGTCCATGTCCATGTCCTTGTCGTGCACCCTGGCTAATGTCCTATAGTAGGGGATAGCCTGTCAGGGTGAAGTTGGGTGGGGACTTTGTATCCCACGGCCGCTATGGTAACCACAAGGGCTTGATTGTAACCCAGAGATGGAGTAACAAACAGAGCTCTGGTGAAGCTACAAAGACTAACCTTTTATGCAAGAAGAAATCAAGCAAGGAACATTTTAAGTTTGCTAAGAAGAACATTGTAGGGAGGGAGGCAAAGAGAATTGACTAAAATAGGATCTGTTGGAGTTCCATGGTGTAATGAGTTTGGTTGTGATGACAAGTAAAGAAAAATCCTGTAAACTAAATTTTTAGAGCAAGGTTAGGAGTCAATAGGAGCTCTAGATCTAACATAACTGAACATAGCAAGACTATTATGAAACAAAGTGGCATACCTGCTATGCAAGTCATGAAGCAACTTGCACCAACCATAATACAATTTTTTGTACAACACATTGTTTAAGACTTTCTCATTTACCATTCTCAGCTCTTGTTGATGCGATTGTCCGCAAAGAAACTGATGAAATTAGGAATATTTTGGAGTCAGAGGATGTGGATATCAATGGGTAAGGATATCATTAACAAGTTATGATATCACAGTAGAAGCAGAGACAAGGGTATCAAAATCCTTTTAAGACCAAAGACCTCAAGAATTGATGATTATCTTATTTTCCCTTTCCATGTCACCATAGAAGTATCGATTTCTTTGTCCCATGCTTGTGACAAGATGAAAAACATCTTCCTCTATCCCTGTGCCGTTTCACAAATTTAAATGTACACATTGTTATAACATTGTGACTTCTTATTGGCTGAGGAGTTTATTTTTTGCCTAAATGCACATTTCTTGTATTGACCTGGACATTTTTCAGTTAAACAGTATGTTGCATCATTCAATATTCCTTTGAAATTCTTATTCAATTCATAAATGTCATCATTTGTAAAAGAAATACATTTGTAACTCTTGGTTGTTTTTTTTACTATTCTTAAATTATTTTGTATTGGTTATTCAGGGTAAATGATGATGGATTTGCACCTCTTGATGTGGCTGTCATGCTTGGAGTGTTACCCATTGTCAGAATGTTGTTGTTATATGGTGCTCAAGGAAGCTCAAGTTGTAAGTTTTAGCCTTATCAATTTTCTTTTTTACAGTTGAGTGTTCCCTTGTAGTACCTGGGGGACAAAGGAGTGTTGTTCACTTTTGGCACAGGCCATGAAGACAAATTATTTTCTCTTTACGTAATCAAAGCTGTTTACCCTTTCACTGCCAAGATCTCCTTACTGTGAGACAGACATTTCTCATGATGTTTGATCATAAGATGTGAGAATTTGGTGTCTGATAAACTAATTAACCCCTAATTAATATTTTTCTTAATTCCCATCACTAGTCTGCTTGATGTTGTACTGGTATTGTAAAGAGAAATTCTGTCTTGGTCACTTATGTGAGTCAAAGGGTTAAGGGTTGTCTGCTTGAGAAAGTTTTTAAATATTTAGCTACACTGTTCATCAGTTGCAAATTAACTGCTGTTTTGAGAAATTTCTTCCAAACATTTCTGTACTTTGACTTTTGATCACAACAAAACATGCTTCTGTCAGATGAAATTGCTTGCAAACTTCATGCTGACTAACTCTCATGTTTGCTAGTAAAATCAGTTTAGTGACTTACCTGACTTACCTGACTTACCTGACTTACCTCTTAGTCCATGTTTCCAGGGTGAATGGGAATTTAGAATTATGGTTTTTTGTTGAGGGGGGACCCAGAGAAAAACTGTTGGTGCAAGGGCGAGAACATAGTAACAAACTCAACTTGTATGTGATGCTAGATCCAGGAATAAACCCTGGGTCATAGCAGTGGGAGGCAAGCTCACTCACCACTAACCCTATGATGTCATCAGGGTTGAACTCTACAGTGAAAAGTACACTTCCAAAAAAGGAATAACACAAGAATTAAAAAAAGACTTGTCTATGGAATTATGAAGAGTTATAAAGGATATTTCCTCAAAGTACATAATGCTTCACATTGAAAACACCTCACCTATATCATTTGCCTCACAAAATTAGAGAACCTTAAGAGATAACACACAGTCTGAACTTGTAATATGTTTGTATCCCTTGACAAATTTCATAACAATGATAACTGGTTAAGATGAAGGTCAAAATTTTATGTGTCTCTGTTAAACTTTCTGCTATTTTGCTAAATTTTCTAGTAATTCTATTGATGACATTTGTTCTGTTTCATCAGTACCAAGTTCATACCTTGCCAAGCACATAAACATGTTGTTGAAGGAAGCAGAGCTAAGAGTGGATGACCTCACCACAGCAGTGGTGCATGTCAGCTACACTACATCATCTGAAGTAAAGGTAATTCACATTGCTCTGATTGATTTCCTATTGCATACCAACAGAAAAATTTCCCTTGAAAAATCCCCCTCCCCCCGATCAATGTCATTATACGAGTAACTGCACACCAGCTCCTCCCCAGTTACCCAACAACAGTCACATGAGAACAACTGGGCTAGGGGTGCAGTTGTTCAGATACTGACTATGGTTACAGCTATAACCTGTTTTGGTGAATAATTAGAAAAAAGGATTTTTGTGGTTACTTTAGAGCATATTTTCAGAACTCAGTGATGACCAGGGAATTAATCATCAATTTGTGTCATCTTCAGGAAAATGAGAGGCTTTTTCAGGAGTGGTTATGGAGGAAACACTTACTTGAACAAATGAAGAAAGGACTTTTAAAAATAGGTAACAGATGGTACAAACAAAAGATCTTTATCTATATCATATCACTTCTTTTGTCCATAGTCTAATTCCTTGGGTGAATTTCTGATAATTATCAGCATAGAGAATGTGGAATAACTTGTTAACTTTTAATTATCATAAACTCAAAAATTTTGCTTCATCATCTGTCAAAAAACATTCTGAAGCTCCTAGCCAACTAGCAATTTCATTTCATCCTGCTATCAATTATCACTGTTTCAGACATCTGGAAGAAGGAACAAACCAAATAGTTGGTATTGTCACAACTTGGGAATATGAACTTTTGAGCTCTAGAAAACTTATCAGTATTCATGTTTTTCATAAGATCCACAATGTGATGAACAGTTGTGTAAGAAGTACTTTTTATGATGTATTTCCATGTACAACTTCAAAGTTTGCATTTCATTAAAATCCACAGTAATTGTCATAGGGATCAGAGAAGCCGGATATGGTTGTATTTTTACAGATGATGCTTGTTATTTCCTGTCAAATTCATCGCACCATTGCTATACCACTCCATATTGTTAATTGACATGCAGTCACATTACTATCTTTTGAAATTCACTTTACAAGACAAAAACCTCTCAGAGTTGTAACTATAAACCCTAGAAATATAGTCAAATATAACTCCTTTGCTCCCTTTGTAATTGTATCAAGTATTCTCATCCTAACATCAAAGTTAAAATGTTTCCTTGAAACTTGGCAGTGATGATGTAATAAGCTGAGCCCAAATAAATGAAATTCAGGTAGAGACAGTTTAATTTTTCCTTTGTCAGAACCACCGGACAAGCCAAGTGGTGTTACAATATCAGTTGCTTCTGAAGACTCACTGCTTGTTCGTTTTATTGAACCACTCAATGAAAAAGTTATTGTATCTAAGTATAAAAGTGAGTATCAGTTCCATATGCTATACTTATAGTCAAACCCCCTAGATCCTAAGATTAACATATCACTTCTCTGCACCGTGCTACATACATTTCTTTCAATTTTGGCTTTGAGAATTTGGTTTCAAATCAAATATCCTCAAAGTTATGGTTTCTTTATCCTTTCATATTGTCCCCTTTTTACTTGAAAGTATATCAATATTGTGAGGAGGGATTTTTTTGGTCACACCTGGGATTGAAAGGGCTAAGCTGGCACCTGCTCTCCTATTTCAGTCCAAGAGTTTCTCAAATTTGAGGTATCCCTGCACCAGGCCTCCTAGTCCGTGATCCAGCCGTGGTCACCATTCAGCTGTCTCTGATCAGGGTTTTCCCCTCAACCTAAGCAAGATTTGCTGTTTGTCTGTTTCGGAGTTTTGAGAGTTTGTTTCTAATTTCAGTTCAATGGAGTAAGTTCCCAGACTTCAAGATTATGGAAGGAGAATATGTCCACCATGACCTAAGGTCACAAGAGTACACAATATGTAATTTGCAGAAGGTTTGTATTGAATAAATCTGTCCCACATATAAGCACTAATTGTAAACCATGGTGAATGGAAGGCCGTAAGAGTCGTTTGGACAAGGAAGGGTTTGATAAATAGTCATTAATACACGGGCACGTGTAGACATGGAATTTCTTTTTGAAGGTTGAACTCGATATCTCACGAGTGGGTGTGGCAATCGAGTGTGTTATGGAGTAGAACACGAGAAGATAAATTCCACGTGTAATTTTACACATGTGCAGTTTCGGCTTTTCTCAGGGTTAGGAATCCTTGTAAAAAAAACCGCAGTTTAAAAATTTGCGCTTTTTTTATTTTGACATATCCTCTTTGTTGTCTTCTTTATGTTTCTGACCATTTATTTTTCGGGGTGTCAATTTAATGTTGGGAATGTTACGCAAGTTTGTATTTGTATTTTTATTTGTAGTCTGTGTTATACTATGTACGTGTTTGCTGTGGAAATCTAAAAGGTTTTAGTCAATGGCTGGAATCCAGTCCTCCAAGTGCAATGCCATCAAGTATGTTGTTGTTTTTATTTAGCTAGCGATTGCTTATGGTAACGATGGGTAGCAAGTGACTAAATCTACAACTTTGCTTTGGAAAGTTCAATATTCTGAGGCGTGAAGAAAAGGAACAATATATTTTTTGACAAATCACAGAAACTTCCAAAATCTTCTTGCAACCACATTTGTGGGCACCATTCTTTCCCTCTGTTACCTGGAATATAGAGCTCCAAATTCTTCGCAGATGAGGAAAAAGTAGCGACAGCAAAATACAAATCAAGGAATACCAACAGATAAAATGCATATCAGTCTGTTAAGTGAAGGGGGAGAAAAACTAACATGGCAGTTAACGTTCTGTATTGAGGTTAACTAGCGTCTAAATTCTCACCAAGGCATCACAGTTGCATCAAGCATAAGGCTTGTGAGAATGAAGAAAATTATCGCAAACTCGAAAATCTCTTGATTTTCAATTACATTTTCCTTACCAGTGCCTTAAGAAATGTAAACAGAGCAGTGTGGAGAATATACATGCTCATGTTAGGGTTTAAAGGGTTAAACGTTCTAGGTTTTTTTTTTTTCTCAAATCTGTAAATTATTCTGCAGCATGGCACGAAGTAGATGACTCTAAACCTCGTTTCCAAGGGCGACTCGACAAAATAGATCATTTATTTAGTCGGGTGTGGCAGAGCCATGAGGAATTCTCACCAGTTCGACCATCACTAGCGCACAGACCACGAAGCAACACATATGGCAACGAAACAGGTAAGAAACAAGGCTTAATTTTTGTGCTCTTCTATTTCCTCCACAAACTTTCTTATTAGCTAACAAGATGAAACGATAACAAGGAGCTTCACTGCCAAGATCGAAAAATACCACCTCATTTTCATTATACTAACCGCTTGCGATAGATTGTCATGTCATCCTGGGGGAGCAGTAACACATTTAGTCGCTGCATTTTACATGTAAACTGGGATAAGCTGGGGCGGAATGGACCACTTGGCTCCAGCACAGATTTAAATTAGATGTACATTGCTCCCTGTTAACAGTATGCATGACGTTTTTGGATGCATTTTGTTGTCGGTTTTATTTTTATGCATGTTTGCTCTAATTTACACTTTGACAGGGTGCGAAGCTGGTGCATCGCCAAGGACAAGTCGTAAGTCAGCCATGAAAAAGAGTCTAACAAAGTACACTAATCTACTCTTCCATTCGGCCCCAAAATTTGCCAGACATCTAAAGAGGTAAGAATGATTATTTATCGTTTTTCCTTAAGTGTATACTAATGAGATTTGTTTTGATTGTGTGTAGCGTCAATCAGCTAAATTCCAGAATGTACACCTTAAGTTTTGACGGCATAGTCAATACAAGTCTCTTCCATGAAGTTGACTTGTGGACAAAATGTTCGACATGTTTTTTCGTCGTTCCTTCGTTTCTTCGTTTCGTTATGTCACTGTGGTTCTTCGTTTCGCGTTGTCGTGCCTTTTTATCGTCGTTTCGTGATGTCACTGTTTGTTTCGTTTGACCCTTCGTTTCGTTTCTTGGATGTTTTGTGTCGTCGCTTTGTTTCGCCGTTATAGACCGCGCTCGACTGGGAATGAGTCGAGGAACATTACATGATGAAACAACAAGTCAATCATTTTGATTCCAAGTTAACTTCACGCTCTTCAATCGGAAAAGTGAATGCTTATCGTCCTTTGAGATGAGCAATATATCACCTCATGGTCATAAAAAAGTCCCTACAGGACATCGAATGAACTCAACTCAATTCATTTGTCGCATTGCATTTGAACTGAACAATAAGAACGTTCGTTTCTACTTGAATCTCTGCCATGGCATCTCAGAAAAATTGACTGATTTGTTCTGGGACACCTTCATGATGTATGCTTTTTGGCGGAATATACATCACGTGACTCTGATCATGACTGACTGTCACAAAGGTTTTAAAACGTTTCTAGTCTCAGACATTCTTACTTTTTCTGGATAAACTTTGTTTGATAGCAAGAGTACTGACTTTCCGATTGATTGTCGTAAAACCAAAACCAAAGTTAAATCACAAAATACCTTTAGGGGCAATCGAGAACTCGAAGTGAAAACAACCAAACTGCTTAAAGTGCGGGAAAAAGCGGGCCACCAAGTCGTGATTGGTTTTAGTTTTGCATCTGATTTGTTGGGAGGATGGACTAATCACAGAGCGAAGTGAAGCAAAACCAATGTAATCCCGGATGACTTTCGACACTCAATTGAAAATGGCTCTGAGCCTTTAGTGATAGACTCTGGAAAGAAGACGTGATGAATGCTTTATGTAGTTTGGCTTCTTTTTTTTTCTATCCGCAGAGGTGTATATCTGGCTTCTTTGCTATTCACTGATGACGAGAAGCTCCTTGTAACCCTGGACGAAAATATCCCAATAATTGAAGTGGATGATAATCATCCTAGTACCTTCCTTCAAGACTTTTGTTGGTTAATGAAGGTGCTCATCTAGCTTATGTTATCACTTCACAAAACTATGAAACTCGTACAAGTTATGAAATAAATACTTATCAATAAATGGACTAGCGTAGAGGGCTCTCTGAAGTAACGCGAATAACGCGCGAGAAAGAGCAAACTCGCAAGACGTCTTACCCGCGCTGCAGGTCTAAATCATTCGCGTTTAGTTTAGTCAAGCACCCGCTAAGAAAGCCATAATAGTATATTACTTTTTGGTAGTAGTGTTATTCATACAGACTTAGAATTGAAACTCTTGTTTGAGATGAACGTTTTAGTTTGGACTCATAAGGAGACAAGACAATCTCAGCAACATAAATGTGACAGGTTGCAGAGGCAATTAGCTTTGGGTAACATGGAGAATCTTTATGTATCTTTGCGAAATAATTTTATCCGAACAAGTTGCAGAAATTCTCAAATTCAAAGTGGTTTGAATTCTTGAGAAGCGAGGAGGCAACTTGCCGCAATTCATCGAGCGGAAGTAATGCAACCAGAGTGGTTTGTTGAAGAGAGTTGGTGATCTTGTTGTGCTTGCAGGCCTTGTGATGTTAAAAAACAAAACAAAACAAAACAAAACAAAAATCTGTAAGACAGAGGTCTGTTAGGTTTCATAATTACTTCATTCAAGAAACTGGGAATTTTTCTTGTTAGGGACCAAACCGCACAGGATTAGAACCTTAGAAGAGAGTTTCCACGTCTGTAAGGGAGGGCTGGATGGGGACTAGTTCGATTCCATTGAAGAATTGCCGCTTCATTATGTTGAATTTTCTTTCATTTTAGGTGGCTTGCACTTGGAAAGATGTTAAAAAATTAAAGCAAGAAGTAGAGAAAAAGTGTTCATCCACTTCAGTGCTGTTCAGATGCAAACTACTACAAGCTGCTGATACTCTGCAGGTTAAGATTCGGTTTGATTTCTGAATAAGAATGGTATGCGTTCTTCACAACAGCTTCGGCGACTCCGCCGTAACTACCTGTACTGTAACGAATGAGTACGAGAAGTTAACATACAAAAATCATGTCCCCTCCACGCATGAGCCCTCAGTATATTCACGACTAACACTTTAGACGAAAGAGTCTCGGCCGAAGTGTCATCTCTAATTGTCATGGTTGATTTACACGAAGTAAAGTTGTTAAAAGCCAACACAGCACTGTTGAGAGGCATACTCTCAATAAATTCACGAATCATACATTAAAAGGATTTTTTTTTTCCCGTAACTTTACTTAAGCTGTTCCTAACCTGACAGAGAAACTTTATTGGGAGAGCGTACAAAGGGATCTCTACCATAAAAGTTGGTAGATACTCCTTTCCAGTCCCCTTTGGCAGTCGACATTTTGCAGACCCTTTTAAATGGTCACCTTTAGCTTAAACTTGCCGAACGAGTAGGACATATTAGAGAGACCCGGGCTGGTGTCTTTCATTCCTTATTACCAGACCATGCAGAATTATTGAAAGGTAGCCATTTGATTTTTCAGGGTGCCCTTGGCAAGCAAGATCTTGGCAGGCTACATTACAAACCAGTAAAAGATAGAAATGGTAGCACTGTGATTGTCGCCGTCAACTATGCAATTGTAAGTATAGAGCTATTTAGACAAATTATTGCATGCCACAGTAAACCATCTGACTTGCACTCCTAACACGTATTCCGTGCGAAATAAATAAAAAGGAAGGCTCAGACGCTATCCTATGGGTCTGTTCAGGTATTATACCTTTGTTTGTTGATCTTTAGTTCGACTTCCAAGGCACAGTTGCATTTAGCCAACTGTTTTTCTCCCGGCTCTTGGAATTTTATTTGTTTCACTTCTTTGGAAAGCCCCACATGCTTTCATACTTAAAACACTGTCCAGGCTAAATGAGTTCACTTTTTTTTTCTTGAAAAAGAAAATGGTTTTACATCTTCCTTTTCATTTGTTTGTTTGTTTTTTTTCATCCAGCATGGCAGTTCCTTCAAGCCGCGTATCCTGTCTCTAAAGTGGTTATCGTTCAGTAAACTCCAGAAGAGGATTCAGACTCCTCCATTGCAAGGTGGGCTACAGGATGAGTTGTTCACTGCATCAGAGATGCTTGTCTCCTCCATTCAGGTGAGAACATGAGTCCGCATGAAAAAAGATACTCAACAGATTAAGAGTGACTAGTATCTAATTTCTCCTTACAATATCATCCCAGAACCAAACATCAAGGTCACAAGAATAAAGGAAATGATCACCAATACTCTACTCGCTCATGATTGTTAAACGAATTCTCCTTGTCAGCACCTTAGAAATGTATTGAAAAACAGTATGGAGAATATACATACTGATTCTAGGGTGTAAAAGCTAAAGGTAACTGTTTCATAGATGTTTTGACACAGATATTAAACTTAAGTGAAGTTCTGTTATTCAACTTGATGAACTCGTAAGCACTGATGACTTGATGGATGGAATTGTTCCCTTTACGAATTATTCACATGGGAAAGGAAACATTATCTCCCATTATCTGATCAGAAGTATTTTCTTTAGTAATTCGTTCTTAAGCTATCCTAAGTTTCCTTGTAAATTAGTGAGAGAATTCAGTGTTAGATGACACCCTGTAGCTGACAAGCCAACTACTCTCCCTGCCGTTTTGTTTGTTATTGCATTGTTGTTTCCAAAGGTGACCTTGGCATACTGCTTCTTCACCAGCCTGATGGTGTTATTTTGTAACGGAAAAATTTTTGATTCCTTGTTCTTTCAGGAAAAAATTCATTATTATGAAAACAGTAAAAAGAGCCTTGAAAGGTAAGAGTTTTGTCATTTTAACCATTAATTTTTTTTTCGTTCTGTTGTTTGTGTGATCACGGATGAATGAATGACATTTCAAGGCCCCGTGAAATACACCTTCGCCAGATAAAGGTCCTTGGCGCCATTTCAAGTGATATTTCAAGGCCCCGGGGGAATAACCTCTGCTTGCTAAAAGCCCTTGGCAGTGCATGAGCACTTCATGTCTGTTTTGTTTTCTTTGTAGGGGTTTGTACATCGGTTATCTGAAGCTCAGAACTTTTGTGGACGCTATTCATGTCGTGGTTCAAGAGAACTGCCCCAACGTTCTCCCACACGTCAAGATACGAGATAACCCCAATGTGTCGAGGTGAGGGGAAGTCTTTTTGAAATCTCGCTCATTTGACAAGTACTCCTGTTGAGTTATTGTTTTGAGTCCAGAAATTGTGTTACTCCTATCAGTCATCATATTATTTTATGGATTGAGCATGCGCTCTTTAGTGTTCGAGCAGGCCCTCATCACTAGCGCTGCAGAGCGCGCGTTTCTCCACCCGCGGGAAGATTTGATACGAGTCGGAGAGCGGTTTGCGAAGGGTTTGGCACGAATAATTACCACTGTTAGACGCCTTGTATCCTTCTCGCCGGTCTGCGTTGGTTAAGTCTTCATACCGAAGAGCAAATGATTAGGGCCTGTTAGGGAGCTAACGCTCTTTGTCAGACGTTTTATTGAGTTTACTGTGTTTTCGATCGTAGAGAGGAGTGGCAATGGCTTCAGACGCTGGACACTCTTAGGGTAATTTGTTTTCCTTATCAAACTATACTTTATATTTTATTTATGCCTTGCACTTTTGTTTTCGTAAGAACGTATATTTTGTGTCCGAGGTTGTAACGAAAGTTAGTGCTCTTAATTTGTTCATTTTTGAGCTTGTTCTTGAGTATTTTTCAAACGGAATAGAATTTCAGATTGTTGCTGTTGTTTATTTTTCTCTTTCGTTTTCTTCTTCTTCTGTGAATGGGTTTAATTGGTCTCTCGCCATATTTAAACTACTAAAATGTTACTCAATGTCACGCATACTCAATTCGTTTACTTGCGCGGAGTATGCCCCTATTAACAGCGCTGCACGAAGCGCATTTCTCTGCCCGCGGAATGATTTGAGTCGAGTCGAGGAGGTTTTCCGGTGGTCTTGCACTGGTAATACTTAACACCTTGAAGACCTCTCGCTGGCTCGCGTTGCTTAGGGATTCATACTTTTCCGCAGGTAAAGAAACGTTCGCTGTCTATTGGCTAAGTTCGTAACATGATTTGAAAACCTGTGTGAATCAGTTGAGCCGCAGCGTTTCTATCTAGCAGTGAAGCTGTCTCTGTAATTCTGTATTATGTGACTGATGAGCTGCTGATTGTGTGTTTAGGAGGGCACTCAGGACACAGAGCCATCCAAGACTGCGCACGAGTTTCAAGTACTGGTGGCCAAAGCTGCCGAAACTTTGATGGAGAAAGTAGGCGTTAGTAAGGAGGTACTTTCTAAGATCTCTGTAAATCCGTTTTTCTCTCTGTTTTTACAGTCAGAAGTGTATGTAAGGAGTATTTGTCTTCACTTAAGACGAGTTGGTTAGTCGTGCTCTTGCTCTTGTCTCTCACTGAGTAAAGTCGACTCCAACTGAGTCAAACCCTCTCAGTCAACAGTCAACAGAGAACAAGTCAGGGTTATTGTCGGGTTAGGGGAGGGGTAGGTGCGCAGTTGCTCTCATACTAACATTGATCCGGTTTTTTTTATGGAATTCCGTCATACACTTATTGTACCTGCACCAATGGGAACTCGAATCCTCGATGACTCGAACCTCCCAGTAGCTCGTTGCCTTTGATGACATTGTCGATGTTGTTTTGCCCCCGATAAATCCAGTCAATTCGTTACAAGTCAAGGTATTTGTAGTCCTAACTTAAGTGATACACTGTTAATTTTACCCCTCTTGCTTTGTTCCTTGTTACCAGGCTTCCAAACTTCACAGAATATATGACCGAGAGGTTGTTGAATTGGATGAGAATGTGTCATTTATCATTGTGTTCCCACCCCCTGAGGAAGTCTGTAGTGCTCCAGGACAAGTGGACTCACTCTCACATCACAAAGGCTACATCTCCTTACCTGTGCAAACCTTTGAAATGAGTAAGTATAAGATGTAGGTCATATTCTGGTGAAGTTCTGAGGTTTTGTGAAGAAAAATTTCAATTTACGAGCATCTTTGGCTGAAGCATTGGCGAAATCCCCTCTGGCAAAGATTTTTTCTTGAGCCGTTAATCCAACGTGTTAATTATGTATCAAGACATCGTAATGTGGAATACCTGTGGTAGATCTCTCAGTCGTAATTGTTTTATGTCATAACGCACCGCTCATTCTACACATGCCGTGAACTAAATATATTAAGGTCACCGTCCGTCTATCGCGCTCGGTATCAGGGTGGTTTACTGTATGGTATGCTTACGTGCACTGAGGCAACAATGGTAGTGTTACCAACTATTTTCTCCCAAAGGAGAGATAGTTATCAGCCGTGAACAGTTTTTTCTGCCTCATTGGGGTAGATTAACATATCAACCATGCAGATTACCAGACAGAAACATGCAGTGATACATTTATGGTACTCATGTGGGAAGTGGCTGTGATGATGAAGTGATATGGCCACAGAATACGCTTGATATCGTGGCATTAGCTAAAGACATGTTCTGTTTAAATTCCAGTTCACATGTATACGTACCAGCAAGAGTTTATCTGCCATTATTCTCGTCTCTCATCCGTTCTGGATATGGACTCTGTCATCTCACAGCAGTCTCTCAGAGAGGTAATGTGGCTTTTTTAATTCATTCGAAAGACTTGAGTATCGCTCTTCACTGCACATCAATCGAACAGGCTTCGAACTTTCTTCCAGCGTGGTTTTAGAGTAACGATAATTGATAATTTTCCATTGGCGGAGTGAAACGAAAAGGGTGTGGGTGGGTCAGTCAATCTTTGGTGGCAGTTCTTTTTGTTACATCTGCCATTACTAGGCGTTTACTGTCTTATGTATTAACTTCGCCAGTTGTGTAACTCTTGATACTCGATGTGCATGTTAAGTACTGTTAAGTTTTTTATAGAGGTTAGGTTGTTGCGGTCAGCTTGGCGAAGCTACCAGTAGTGTGTTTGATGAAAATACCAATTTTAACCAAAGAATTCTGCCAATAACTTCTCACGTGGCGCCAACGTGTGTTTTTATTTACCAACCTCTTCACTTAATTTTTTTTTCCTCTCCCTCTTTCAAAAAGGCATTTTCATCACCCGAGGTACAGTTAGCAAAAGCACGACAAGAGCAGCTGTTGGATTTCCAGCGGGTAAGTTAACAAGTTAACTATTAAGAGAAAAATTTTTGTATTGTCAGAAAATGGCAACTACGTGAGATAGTCCAAAAAAAGCACAGTGACTTAGTTACATGAAGTAAAACTTTTTCAATGATTTGCCGAGGGGACTATCGTAAGATTCATCGGAATTCGATTTGTTTACCACGTGATTAGACTAGAATAAAGTTCAAATTGCTTCGACCGCACAGAAGCCTGTTAAGAAGCTTGCTTTGAAATTGTTCTTTTTCCGTTCTAAAGGAACTTGACGAAACATGGCAAGGAATGCGTTGGATATTGGATGCCCTACATTACGCGAGGGATCGTCAAATTCGAGGTGGCATACCTCTGGTGGAGGTGTTTCAATACTCAGTTTCTCACCCGGACGGCCAGTGCTGTGTTTGTTCGTCTGATTTAAGAGGCAAAGTCCTCTGCAATGGACATAGTGAGTATCTGGTCTTGTATTTGTTTCAATTAAAAGTTAAGGATGACAAACAAAATTCAAGACTTGCTTTACGTTATACCCGTTTGTTTTTTGAAGATTTTTTTTTTAACATCAATTTTCTGTAAAATTCTCATTGATGTAGTTTGATTCTGTTACGTATTTGAATGATATGCTAACCATTTTTATCGATATAGTAGTTACTTTACTGCCACTCTGTAACGGTCACTTCTCCGGCTTCTATGGCCTCTTCCCTTTGTCTTCAAAGTGGCCGTTGTGAAGAGTTTCGATTGTATTGTCTAATGTAGTGGTTTATCTTTCGTCAGATTCCTCATCAAGCAATAGCCCCAGACAAGGAGTGGTTCAAATTCATACAGCAGGAGAAACAAGCTTACCTCCCGGAGCCACAGTAACGGTATCATGAATATACTTGATAGTCGGAAACGAAGGCTCGATAAGACTATTATTAAGACTATGATCTTTTGCAATGTCTCCTAATTTGTAAATAGGATCAGGAAAAAGATATAGAGAGCCTCGATACAAGTTCAATTTTCTGCAGCGCTGTTTCCTGTTGATCCAATAGTGGTTTTAAATCTTTCGAATACTGAAGTGCTTTGACGTGAATCAATGACGTTTTTCGAGATTGGACTGGAAGTAAGAATTCTGCCACTATAGATACCAAAGAGAATTGTTCATTGTAAACAACAATTTCTTCAAGGTTGTTAACTTTTTTTTGTACTCGACCTGGCAAAATAGAATAGAAACTACATTTCATCTTTCTGTAGAGACATCGGGCCTTCATGTCTCAAAATTTGCCGAGTGGGTGTGTTTCAAAAATGAAAATAACTGTTACGTCTCATTTTTTATGGGTAGTGGTTCTTCTTCCCTCTAGGTATGGGCCGTTTTGGATGTTGAATTATTACATCCCTTTAACAGTTGGTAACTAGCAGTTTTTTGATGTTGTCTTTTTGTTTATATTTTTTGTCGTATAGCTTCATATAACGCCTGCAACAAGATCGGACGAAGTGGTCAAGATGGTTGTACAACAGCTGTATAAGAAATGCCAAGACAGAGATAAATCTTCCTATTGGCACAATCTCTCTGACAAGAAATTGAAAGACTTATGTTTAGTTGCAGTAATCGGTGGACAAGAGAAATGTTTTAGGGACGATTTTAAGCCACTACAGCTTCAAAATCCGTGGAAACGAGGAAAGTTGTATCTCAGACTACGCGCTGATGCCTTCGCAGCGTCTGCTACAGGAAATTTCACAAGTGTCTAAATTTCAATCACTTAAGACGAGCACCTGTTCCTATGGAGCCATGTAGTTCTGAGTGTTGAAGATTTTCCAAAGAAAAACTCGTGCCACATACTGCAGCAACCAATCACGTAAGGGTACAACACATTGCGATGTGGTAACGTGTTATCCTCTCCCAGCACGGATGTCACGTTTCCCGCGCTCTTCACCGCTTACTCTTAGTTTCTTTGAGGTCCGATTGGTTTGTTTTGTGAACCACGTGACAATCTCTAGAAAATCCTCAGAGTTTCAAACCAATACTAAAGGTACTCTATCTTTGCAATTTTCCTTAACTGGTGCTAACCGTAATTACTGCGAAAATCAGAGCAGAGCATTCGTTTATTAGCATCAGGAGGATAATTTAAAGGTTCCAAATTAAACGCATCAGATTCCAAAGCTGAAGCGGCCAAATCGAGATTGAGTGGAAATAGTTAACCAAAACCGATAAAAACAGTGTTTTTAAAGGCAAAGAGATGCCCAAATGTGTTAGATTTTCTCGAACGCAGAAGCGACAGAAAATGTGAAAAACTGCTAGTACCAGATTTAAAATGACCTTAAAGTGAGAGTAGTGTCAAGATTCTTCGGCACATTGTGTTTTTTATTATTTAAAAAGGATGAAATCCTCCTGTTGGTAATCAAGATGGGTGAATCCATCGTAAATCTAGGGACAAAAAATTTACTGTATGTTAGTTTGAAAATTTAGGTATATAACAAATGGAATATATTTAAGGAGTAAAAAATAATGTCGGAATTAATTAATTTCTTTGTATGATAAGAATGATTTTGTACATATTGGTGGTCTTGGAGTAATTATTTAGGTTTTCGTTTGTCGGCTTTTTTTTTCCCTAATTTGGTTTAATTTTGCCATGGATTAACTTAACTTCAGTTTTGCTTTTTAGCTTTTGTGACAGTGACATTTCCACTGGAGAAGGCGAAAAAATGAATTTTTCGTTACTAAATCTTTCCTAGTCACGTTTTACAGTAAAAAAGACCTGATTTTGTTATTAGGTATTCATAGTTTTTCGAGCAAGAAGAACGGCTTTACACTCGAGATACGGTTGTATGGCCCCAAAAGTTTTCACAGCAACACTGTAGAAAACTTAGTTTAAAGTCTTATAGTTTCGGTTTGAAACCTCTCTCCTTTACTCGTCAAGTCAATCGCGTTTGGTGTGGACTTGGTGACCGCGCATTTCCTTCTTGTATGTGCAGTGTTCGTTGTTTTACTTGGTTGAGTTATACGATTGGTCAGATAGTTTTCTTTTTGTTCATTTGTTTAAAGCACTTCTGTCTTGCCTGTTGGTGTCAAGACGAAGTTAGGATTTGTCTCATGGCCAAGGCGTTTGTTTCCACTCATGGGATTTGTGTTGACCAGATTACACTTAAGAATAGAAAACATTAAAAAAGAAAGAAACAGGAGAGCTGGCTCCCCCTATGAATGTATCATATTTATTCCCTAGTCAGTCTTGCAGGAAGATATTTTTCACGACAGTTTTTCAAATCCTCCATAGGCGATATTCCTATTTAGGCAGCTCTAACAGAAATGTATTCAAGTCTTGTTTATCACAAAAGAAGTTTCCACCTGGTCTACGTTGTTTGACAGAAGGTAAACGTTTAAGTGAAAATCGTATTTATTGTGAGATTGTTGTTTAAAATCACCATTGTGTTTAATTTATTACTGATATTTTCACCTCTTGAGGAGGAATCTAGAATATTTTTAGGCTCTGGGAGTTTGATAAGTCTGGAAGAGTGCTTGAAGTGTTGAGAGCACTCATTTGTGTCACTTTTTCCGTTTCATCGTAATTCATCGCATTTTTGGGTTAAAGCAGTTGAATGTGGATATTGTGTTATTTTATACGTAGAAATGTTTATCTCCTTAGAAAGATAGCAATAAGTTTTATAAAGCAATTTTAGACTGAAACTGGCTGGGTTTTACGTGCGCTAAACGCAAAGCGGAACGCTTTTGGTTATTTCAGCTCTAACTTTGTTTGCTCCCAGAGTATTGATTGAGTTAACATGTGCAGCGGGTGAAATGTTGATGCTAAGATAGACTAAAACAAATAAACAGAAATATTTCTCACAGTTGTTTGGCTTTCTTGGTTCTTTCTTAAACGAGGACGACTACAACAACGACAATTTCCGACAATGACACAGTAGGCGTGCGCGAAACTGTGTTATTAATATTGTGGCAGGGTAGCAGTAGCCGTCGACATTTTTCGAGGAATTTCTGCGAAGAATGCGCTGTGGCATCAAAACGATACAGAGGAGACTATGAGCAGTCTCTGCTTTTCTAGGAAGTTCGTCGTGCTATTATATAAAAAGAGGGGGGTAATTTATGTTAGTACACCGCACAGAACTCTGGAGATGAGCATTCCACTCGATGCGTCACGGCAAAACCAACGTACCGGCCACTTCCTCCATTCTTTTGTCAAAGGGCACCCGAGTTGATTGAATTCCTCTTCTGGTGGACTGCTTAGCCTCAAAAAAGAACTTCTGTGCACATCATGATTAATCCTGAAAAAACTGAAAAAGCCATACAGAGGTATGATGTCCTAAACTGATTCGAAATGACATAGACCGTTAAGGATTGGTTGAACCAAATAATTCTCACGATGATCAGGTGACCGCCCAACCGACTGGCTTCTATTTCCATCAACACATTATGACATGACGAGTGTGAGACACTGAACCATTATTAATCACTTACTCAAACACAGAATCTCTTACTTGCTATGAGACCTGCTCAAAATCTTGAATGAAAACACATGCCCCTAGCATGTGATCGTTATGAATAGATTGTTGATCTTGATTTCATTCTTAATGTGAATAAATTTCTTAAAACTTTTTATCTTTAGAGAACCCTTTTGAAAACCACGTTTGAATGAATGAAGGCATCTTAGTGAATTTTATCTTCTTATTGTTGTTACTGCTATTTAATGATTAGTAGATGGTTTTGGCACATTATTATATCTATCATGCGGTGCGGGCCTACATCTTCCCATAATCCAACCCGATCATGTCCAGTTTCCTTTCAATTTTTCGCTAAAATAAACAATTTGTTATCTGTCCAGTCAAGGTTGCAATGACTACTTCTTTACACTGCAAAGATGCCTCTTTTCTGATGATTTTTGTAAAAGATTCATAAGGATAAGGAACATTTAACTGTAAGTAATGTTCCTAAGCTCTGCTTTGCCTGCAGTTCCATTTAATTACTAAAGTTTTCGTAAGTTAATCATCGATCCGTACTAAAGCTTCTTACTACCAACTTCAAAGCCGATTACTTAATTATCAACTCTGTGCGTACCAACTGACTAAGCTTGTGTACGAATATTCGTAAAAATTGAAGCTTTTAACCCTTGAAGTACATTTTCAAAGCCCGGGCATTTGCTTCTTGTATAGATGTGTTCCTCAGCTCTAGAGATACCATCTCGCTAGGAACTTGTAGCTAATACGGCAACGACTAATCCTTAAAATACTGCGATTTTTCCATAACTTTTCTCTCTTTTCTGTCATGAGCTAAATAAAGATATTTAGGGTAAACGGACACGTATGGATTTGAAAAACGAGATCGATAATGCATTCAGGAATAGAAAAACATACTATGAAAAGCTTTATCTTTGGAAATGGGTATCCAACGTGCTTTGCTAATTGAGCGCATGAGCAAGCACATTTTCTAGCTAGGGGGGACCAGAATGTCCTGAGTGTCCTGAGGTTGCTGTAACGACTTTTTTTAGCGTGATAGATGCAAAATAAAACATTATGTTCTACTGGGGGAGCTCTGTAGTGGCAGGGGGTAGGAACTAGTTAGGAAAGAACAGGAAGACCAGTTTCAAGAGATATAGTCTTAATTGGTGAGAGAATAAAATGAAAAAAGCCATCTGAGATCAAGGAACAGAAAACAGACAGTTTATGAGCAACACTATATTGTATATCATTTTATGTGGTAAATCCCCTTCATTGTAAGCCTTCTCTTAAAATTTACATGTGAAAATACGCTTGCTATTTTAGTAATGCAACAGGAAGCAGGTTGAGGGACAGTGTGTATCAAATATATTACTGTTAGAAAAAATATTGTGTAAGATGCCTTATCTCAGTTTGTGGTTGTAACCCTTTGTTTCAGTTGTCAGATAATTAAAAAATTTATTAATGAAGCACCTTTAGTCTTGATGACTCATTAAAAATTATTTTGCCTTTTTCCTTAGCATTTGAAACTGTGATAACAACTTTCTTGCTTACTGCAAATTAAGCCAGAAGCCTGCCCCCTGTGTTTGTGTTTTGTTTATTCTGGTATCATCTTGCAAAGTTTTTGATGAATAATTAGCTGTGTGTTTTCAAAATAGTGATATACAGACTCTATCACACTTAATTCACAATTTTATTATTTTCAATTCTCAGGGAAACAATGGCTGAAGAAGTGGTGAACAGACAAGGTGATTTGAGTCTTCATATTTTTCACAAGTGGAAGGATACAAACCTTGGAAATATACTGGCACCAGTTTTAGCTTTTGTCATAGAATACCCAATTGCCACTTTATTCATTGCAGTCTTCATGGGACTCTCAGCATTGCCCTTAGTGCTGTTTGTGTCATTTGTCTTGTACAGTTTCCTCTTTACTATGCTGGGATTTGCAATGGTGGAAGGCACGCTGTTGATGATTGCTGTTTCTATGCTCAGTGCAGTCATATTTTTTGTGTTCTTTGTGTCAATCTGCATAACAGCCTTTCTTATCTTCACGTGGAGTTCAGCTGCCGTGGGTTACACTTTTGTTCAAAAGCTGAAAGGAATAGTTCTTTACTTTTTTCCATCACTGAAAGAAATCTTGGAGAATTATGCAGCAGTGGAACGGTCACGATCAGATTGAATCTTGTTTTGTTGTGGTATAACTTTTGACTGTTGTCAAAAATTGATATTTAAAGTGATCTGTTCAACTTGGTTACTATTTAAGGGAAAATATTGTTCTTTCATCCATTTTATTATCATAATGGTATTTTAAGTAAAAAGAACTGCATGTGTGGATTTCATTTTTATTGAAGAAGTTTTTCACAAGCGGCATAAATAGTATAGTTGGAGGTTATCTAACACAAAAAAAGTTGAGTGTTTTACAGATTTTTACCCTGCTTCTCTTAAGGATGCCAATTTTAAGAGAGGAAGTGTCACTTGTAGTGTATTTTCTTGGATGAATTCCCATGTTCTTATAGCTATAGGGCTCCAAGTAAAGGCTGGTCAAAGGTCAGTGTAGGGTAAAAAATAGGTTTTGTCTGGTCAACTCCTTGGATGGCTAGACATTTTTTCTGGTTGGTTACCCATGTAAAGAACAACTCAATAGCAAGCTAAGTTCAGTTTCATTTTTCCTTCATTGAGTTTGAGGCTGCACAATCAAAGCATAGTAAATACCCTTGTTTTATAGGAAGGGGGGGGGTCTATACAGATGAGGTAATGGAAATGTGTTCATTTTTCTAAGAGAAAATAGGTTTGATTGGACAATTTGACCAGCACCAGCTGGGAAATTATTTTGAGCCTTGAGCCAACTTGATTCTCTTCTCACAGTCTCTATTTATAACCATTGAAACCTCTTCCACCCTAGATCTGATCAGCAATCGTCCCTTTTAGCAGCAGAACATTCCCTTTCAAATTAGAAATGAGAGTCTTGCAAAAGGATGCTCTCTTGTTGCTAAGTTTGTTTTCTCTTATCACTTGTTTGCTGGCTACCATTATTGAAATTGTAAGGGAGTTAACCCCTTCACTCCAGATATCATAATGGAAAATTCTCCCCACTGTCTTCCATTCATTCCTTATAAAGTTTGTACTAAGAATTTGGTGTTGGATTTAATGATAATCCCAGAGTTAATATTTTTTGCTACTCCATCACTTATTCATATTATAAGGAGCACTTTTGTCCCACATCAAATTTGTAACTCTCCTTACTGTCAACCATACAATTCTTACAATGTTAGTTTGGAGAATTTAGTATTGGATTAACTAATTATCCTCGAATTGATATTTTTCTTTATTCTTATCACTTATCTGGTTGATAATGTATTGATATTGTAGGGAGAAATTCTGTCTTGGTCACTCATGGGAGTTAAAGGGTTAAAACCGTACCAGTTCTGGTGGCTTATTGTTTTATATTCCAAGTCAAGTGAATTAAATGTCATCTGTCCATCATGTTGGGGGTGGGTGTATATCAACACCACGATGACAACAAAGTTACACCTAGCACTGGTGATCACTCAGGGACTGAAATAACAGTCATTAACCTGTGAATAATATTGTTGATTGGTTGTTTATTCATTAGTCAGGATGAAAAGCGATGTGTGAGTAATAATTTTGGTAACATAGAATTGGCACTTGAAGTTTGCAGTTCTTATTTATTGATGTAGATTTTTTTTTCAATCTCACTGGCAAACATTTTATTTATGTGTATTACAGCTACATGGAATATTTGTTGTGCTGTAATTATCACCAATATAGTAGTAATTTATTTATTAAAAGAAAAGTCCTGTTAGTGTGGATTTTGCGGATTTAAATTCTAAATGAAATTATCATTCGGTCCAGTTCTAAGTCATGTTTTTTGAGTGTTGCATCTTCTGTTAAGGGAAGGGGTAGCAGTTTACAGGTGTAGCAGGGTTTGCATCCAAGTTTCAACAGGAGCCCAAAGGAGGAAAGTAAGCCAGTACTGCAAGCAATCCTGAGCCAAGTGGTCTTCTATTAATTCCACTCCCTCCAACATCTTCTTGTTCCTTTCACCATAATTTTCATGGCCAAGGGCAGAAAACTCTTTACTAATTCTAGAATGCTGAAAATGCTAATACCTTCAAGGTTGGTCCTTTCATTTAGTTTTTAACTGGTGTGTTTTGTATGAAACAAGGACTCATCATTGCTCTTGTCATGGAAGAGGGGGAAGGGGGAATCAAGGGGTTTTATGTGACTGGGGGCAGTTCATGAGATTTGGGTACTTATAGGAAGTACTCAATGAAAATCCCCTTATGAACCTTGGGGGGGGGGAGGTGTGGGGGACTTGGTGAAAACTCAAAGAGAAGGTGAAGGTCCAAGTCTTTTTATTCCTGGTGCAAGACTTTTCATTGGTGGTGACAAAACAAAGGACATGCTTCTTCATAATGCAGGTCATCGTCTTTCTTTAGAATTAAAGCCTACATAGCATCACGAATACCTTACACAACATGTATTCCTTTTGTCAAAAAAGCTCTAATGTGCACACCAAAAAAAATCACAGGCCTTCAGATACACCTATATTCAGAATTGCCAGTGACCACAGGTTTTAAAGGGAACTTGAAGCTCTAATAGAGGACTTGGTGTGGGAGTAAAGGTAGGAGTATTAAAGTGAAGTAAAGTGACCACACTAAAGGCCAAATTATAGCAAAGTGTTGGGCCATACTACACACCTAATCTTGGTTCTGACAGAAGAGTGTTTTCTTTTTACTAGAAATGTCTGCAAAAACATGAATAATGTAAAAAATGTTATCGAACATTATGGTCTCTCTCTTGAGTAAAAAAAATGCTGAAATCATGATAAAGACATCACCCCTTAGTATTTGATATTTTTGGATCCATCATCAAAGCAGTTGGCTCAGAATTCCAATACATAATTTATCTTGAAAAGGCTAGGTTATACAGTTAAAAAGCAATTTCAGAGTTGAGTATCTGTGCACAGGTTAAGACTGTGAACCTACTCAGAAGGAGACTTCTCAAACTTTTTTTCATTCTAATTGACACGAACTTGTTTCTTTAAATCTATGAAAATCATCAACCCTTTGACTACCATGTAATATTTCATATTTCTTCACAATATCACCCCTAAATCAAACACGAAGGTCACAAGAGTAAAGGAAATAATAACCAACAAAAGCAGCTGTTGATTGTTAATCATATTCTCTTTTTCAGTACCATATGAAATGTACAGAGATTTGTATGGAGAATATGCATTCTGATATAAGGTAGGGTGTACACAGTTGGGATGTTGCCTGTGCTGCCTATGAAGAAATGTTACTATGACAGTTTTACCATAAGACCTCCATTATACTATCAACAGTTCCTGATGCAATGAGTTTCTACATAGGAAACTTATGACCTACAGTTGCATCCCAACACAAAACAATAAAGTACACTTCCCACACAAGACAAATTTTTTTAATAATCTTGTACTTTCTATCTATGACCTGTTACTACTAATACTCCACAATCTTAAAATATAAGAAGTTAAAGTTTGTCATTTTTATTTATAAAAAAAAATCCAAGCTTATTCCAATTACTGCTATAGTTTTATTTGAACTATAATAATAAATTGTTGTCAACTCAGGTTTACATAAAGACACACAGTGCATGATAAGCTCTCACCTATTTTTCATAGCAAATGAAAGCTCTCTTTTTGCTTAATCATTAGAAAAACAGGTGTTTCAACATTTTTCATGAGTGGCTACCAGTGGTGCAAGAAGTAGCTGTGCCAATATATGAACTCAAACATGAGCCTACTCACGGAATAAACAGACAGCGGTGAGAGGTCTTTAAGGTGGCAGGAAACCACCGGTAACCACCTTTCATTAAAATCCCTACACAATTAAAGTGAATCCAGATTCAAGCCATTTTGTATCATTCATGCAGAATATGATCCATCACTGCTATTTTTCATATCATATTTTTCCTGCTTCAAATTCTATGTACGTAAACGATGATAGAGCATTAAAGAAAAGTTGGGAAAAAGAGATAAATAACAGAAAAAATACTGAGCAAAACCACTGCATCTTTTAGGCTCACTGTGAATGAAAAAAATATTTATTGCTAAATGATTTAAAGTTGAAATAGCCACTTAAACACTTAGAAATCCAAAGCCAAATAAATAAAAGGAAAAAAAGTACAAGAACACACACACAAAAAACAAAACTTCATCCCAAGATTTTCCAAGAAAACAGAAAATGCTTTACATATTCTATCCTTTGACAGTGTAGCAGAGTAAGGCACTTCCACAGAAAGAGATGAAAAGAATCAATTTCCTTGTTAATATTCCACAGCTTGGCAGTGGCAAGTCATTCTTGCTCATCACATCAAATAAACAAACTTAGTTTAATTAATTAAAAAAGATAATTTTCTGACTTGGTTACAAAATAGTTTTCTCCTACTTGGCTGCATCCAGGTTTTTAAAATATTTGCAAGAGTGTTTCAAAAGTGACCATAATGAAGTGAGACATTTATGCCAGTCTCGGTTCTCTGCCAGAACTTCCATACATCACAACATTCAAACTTTTAATCAAAGCATTATATATTGCATTATCATTACCATTATAAAACAATTGGTCATAGCCACCATAAATGAAGTATATGACTGTTTCTTTCTCAAAAATCAATGATCACAGTTTATGATATATAGACAATACACAATAGATTAGAAAAATTCGTAATCTAGATGACACTAACCAGCTCATAACAACCAGGATATTTTCAAATTACTCTATGAAAAAAGTAAAAAAAGCTACCTTTTGTAAGATTTTACAAGAGGTTTTTATTGTTATGTATGCTATGGCAATTTAGCTTTCTTATGTAAATAAACATTCTCAAAGACATGACCTGAAGTTGGACCATCTTTGTTTTGACACTCCAGGTGGCAAAATGAGACATGAGTAGCCACACTCCTGTCTTTGTACTGTACCTTGCTAACCTTCAGTAAGTCTCATAGAGCCCTTTTTAAATTGAAATATCTTGAAAAACATTGTGTGGCAACATACTTTGCACTTCTGAGTTACTGCAGCATCAAAGACTTCAAATTCTCCTGTAAAATGGTGTCTTTCACTGCATGGAAAACAAACTTGATATTTTCTGTGTCGATGGCTGTTGTGAAGTGATGAAAGAGAGCTTTAGACCTCTCTCGTCGCTTGCTATCAAACATTTGTAAAATAAAGTTCTGAACATCTTCCAGTTTCCTTTGATCACCTATAAAAGCTGGGAAGTAGTCTTTAATGTTTGCATATTTGATCTTTTCCATTAAAAGATCTGTCTTGTTGAGAAAAAGGATGATAGACACATTGGCAAAGAACTTATTGTTGACTATAGTCTCAAATATGTTGCACGACTCCACCAGACGATTTGTTGTTCTGTCTTCCATTAGAACCTGGTCAAAAGCACTTGATGAAACAAGGAAAAGGATGGATGTAACCTCATCAAAGCACTGGAACCACTTAGCTCTTTGTGATCTTTGGCCACCTACATCAACCATTTTGAAAGGAATCCCCTTGATGATAAACTCATGCTCTACAATACCTTTTGTTGCTTTTCTTGCATGAAGGACATCTTGTTTTGAGGGCATGTAATCCTTTGGACAAAGAGAAATGAAGAGTAAGACTGAATATTATATCTATCAGTGTATATGCTATGATTGGACAATTTAGTGGGCTATAATTCCCCATACAGCCAGCTAAATTAAAAAGTTTGTTTTAGTTGATCTCTCCACTTTATATTTGAATCCAGAAATGAAATAATTATACTATTAAACTCTTTTTCTCAGTTTGCACTCTACGATACTTACTCAAGGTTCTTTTATACCTTGTATTTTCTGCTCAGATTTGGCCCACAAGCATCACACTTAGGCCGTAAAACCAAGGGGAAAAACTTGGTCCATAACTTACAGTACAGACCTTGAACATGGTTAATAAGAGGTACTTAAATTTGATGAAACAACTCTTCTTACATAACAGCCAACTAACATAGCACTTTTCAGAATAAATGGGTATATTTCATAATTCAAAAACAGCAAGACTACACTTTCATTAAAAAGTGTTTTTACAAAATGTCATGATGGCTGTATCACAAAAACAATAAAATCATGGCCATGTGGTTGAAGAAATCAGACCTGTACAGTTTCAACTTTTATCTCAGGTAAATATTATTTTCAGTTCCAGTTAATTTTCAAATGACCCATGTGGAAATGAGCTATTAACAACTGAAATGTGTTCATCTTTCCTTAAAAAAAGTTACTAGTGTGGAAGAATAGCTGATTTAAGATGGCAAAAGAAAAATTTTAATCTCCCTGCCATCTTTTCCCTTGTGTAACATCCAAGTACTAATAACTGACAAAACTGTTCGCCTACTGAACTAGCTCAACATAAAACAAATTCATCCAAGAATGACATGATCCACAATTTTCACATAACATGGTGGAATCAAGCTATGTTTTGCCCAGAAAATTTCAAGCTGGTCTGAAGAGAGAGCACATCTGGCCTAAGACTCAAGCTATACAGTTTCTTCATGAATCAATAGGATAGGCAAACTAGCATTGATTTTGGCTAATTTTTTTAATCAAACATCAGAGCTACAGACTGAGGCCTAATTCAAAAAGCATCCTAGCTGATGTTCATGATGACATTCTAATATTCCTTTAACTTTATCATAATAAATTGATTTGCTTATTTTTTCCAAAAAAAAAAAAAAATATGCTTCCTGCAAAGTATTGACCATGAACATCATCTGGTTGGAATTGCTTGCTACACTGAAATAAATTTGACAGTGGGTTGAAGATAACTTCAGCAAATAGAATCAAAATATTTCTTTGGATTCATCAGTATTTGATCTGTGCAGCATGGTTCAAGTTCCAATGCAAAAACTGAACAACAATCCTCAGAGCAAAATATTTCTCATTAAGATCAACCATTCTTTTCTGGAATAAGGAGGTACAGAAGTTGAATATTTTGGGTAGACTTTAAAGAACATGTGGACAAGATAGAAATTAGCCTTAAAAAGAGAAACTATAAGACACAAAAGCTTTAAGGGGTTTTAATAAGTGTCCTTCATAAAAAATTACTACTTTGCAATCTATATTTAGTTCTAATATATATATGTTTTTAGACAGATATTATCTAAAGAAATACTTGATTTGCTGTCAAATCTTCAATGACAGCAAAACAGACCCTTTCAAGACTGCCATTAGAATTACCTCTATTTCACTCCCTCAATTTTGAAGTGTGTGTTTATAACAAATAACGTTATATAGCCACTTTAGGCACTCAATGTATATCACTTAACAAAGGTGAACGGAGAAAGCATTACCTCAAAATACTGACCGGATTTTAATCGCTCTAGGGACGATTTTAAAGTGCATATCAACAGCAAAAAGAAGAGAAATTTGGGGCGTGCTTATGAACAGGAGCTTCTTACACTCGAGAGCTTTACTTGAATTCACCAAACGCTCAGACAAATCACGTTAATTATAAACTCTCAAATTGTTGTAAATCCAAACATGAAAACGAAACATGTATTTTAAAACCAATGTTCGAGTTGTTTAATCGTAAACGCGAATATAAGAAATAAAAGAGCAGTCGATTAAACTAAAATGACGCTCACGATTTTTGTTCGTCGTTGGATAAATGACAGCTATAAAATTTATTATGCTCACTTGTTGTTATTACTTTTCCAATCGTAAGGCAAGGGAAAACTGGAGTCTATTTAGAGAAAAATATTTGCTCTGGTAAATAATACGGGAAAATGAATTTGACAGTGACATGTTTGCTGAAATGAGTACCGAATACCGAGATTTCAGCATGTTTACAATTACAGTTTCGTTTAAGACAGCGACCTCGATTGATGATTCTTTTCGATTCGATGTGAGAAGTAGGACATTGGAGGAAAAGAGAACTTACCTGCCGACCAATACGTTCCAAATGGTCGAGGAAATATTTGGAAGAATCGCCCTGGAAAAAAAAAGGAATGGTTACATCCCTGAAAGAATGTAAATTTCAAACTACCCATGACCGATCGCTTGTTCTCTACCAAGACTAACATTTCCACGTACACATTGTATAGTAAACTACATAATACAAATTAGAAGTTCGATTTGCAAGTTAATTTGACGGGAGGACGTAAAAGTCTCCTGTTCCGACTGCTCTAACCTGATAATTGAGCTTATAAAGTTAAGAACAAAGCATGGACTCCCATCAGATGTGATTTGCTGAATTGTATCGGTCTCGATATCATTAAGTTGGTAAACCAACCATGATTCTGTATTCCACAACAATTCTTTCAGTTTAGTCTTTACTATTGCGTGTAACGCAGAATACTGACGTAAAAAACAAAGCTCGGTGGAGTAAAATGGTCTAAGTGTGTGTACTATTGAAAAAAATTCAATAAATACAGCTTTAGTTTCCTTCATGGCCAGCATTGTTGAAATCAACGAGAGTTATGTGTTATGCATAATACATTGTTTGTGGTGGCTTGCAGAAGCCGCGCTCTTTTAGCCCGGGTATTAACATGAAATTCACGATCTCCAATTTAACCTCGCACAGCTGACTTAGATAAATGTTAAATGCTTAATCTTACCAGCTGAAATTCTCTCCTTCTATCGTAAGCATTTTGAATTCCCTTATCCCGCCAAAGCCTTCTCACACAATCGAAGTAACTCATGAAAAGCTCTGTGTCGATTTGTTGTGGTGCCGTGAAAGCTAAGATCCTTTCTGCGTACATTTGGTTCGATTGATCAGTCCATTCGAGCCTCAATTTCCTTCGGGCATCAGCTAGGACTTTCATCCCCTTGAGGATGTTAGCATAAATGATTGGGCGAAATTCATTCAATGCTTCACTGTCGAAATCCTGGCCATGAATGATACGCATTTGCTTTAGGAACGTGCTTTTCCCACTCTCCCCAGCGCCTAAAAGCAAGACCTTGACTTGACGACGGTACTGCACTTTCTCCTGGGCAAGCTGTTTGTCTATTTTCCTAGATTTGGCCCTTTGTTCGGCCTCCTCCTGGCTCAGGCAGCAAGCATCGAACACCATTATGGCCGACAACAGGCTGCAACTGACTGCAAAATCCACACCCACTGAGGGTTAAAGGCTAGGGAGAACCTGGCCTTTGATCAGCGCGACCAATAAAGAGCTGACCGGAAGAAAGACCTATTTTAACACGTTTTAGAACTGATTTTTCGAGGCTAATTACATCTCACACATTTTATTGCTCCGCTCAACTCTAAGAATGCTAATCAATAGATTGAAATTTTTATTAAATATTGGACAAGAATAGGACAATGAAACAGCATCGGCACTAAAGCATGCACAACGGCCTGCGTGATCAGCACATGTTTGACTCCCTTTTAGTGGTAATATTCTTGTTGATCTTGATTTTTACTGGTTCAAAACAATAATAAAATCGAGAAATGGATTAATCAAGACAACATTTTAAAAATTAGTACACATATACATTCTCGACTGATGTAAATGAGGTTGTTGGTTTAACGCCTTATGATAAAAGACAGATGAATTTTCAAAGAGATCAATGTTAAAGGTCTACCCGAGTAACTGATTAAAAAACCTATCTATTGCTCAATTCACTGAATTAATAAATAAGGAATAAAAGGTAGTAATTTCAACGGAATCGAAATTTTTTCCTCGGAAGATGGAGAACCGACGAAGCGTAAACTGTATATACCAAACTGAGGTTCATATTTTGTATAGTGATCCCTTGATATAAAAAAAGACGAACGCCTTCTCTCAGTTGCCTGCGACAGTATATACCCTTATCTGAATTTCACGGGTTTTTCCACATTTGGAGTAAATTATTATCCAATTAGTAAGGTTAGCTAATTTTTCTCTCTACATCTAAAATTTCGTTTTTTCTTGGTGGGCTTCAATAAATTTCCACATATATCACAGTGACGCAGCGAATGAATTAAGGTCTCCGCGAAATTAACATTGAAATACTTTTTTGGCTTCTAATTACTCTTCATTATCTGAAAACCGATGCAAAAAAAAAAGCACGCCGTCATTTAGTTTACACAATAATGTACTTAACAGATCTAGACTCGCCATATCTCGACACTGCTGATACTGGGAGGGACAAATAGTTGAAATGCTCTCGGACTAATCTTATTTCTCGTATCAAAAATTGTACAAAATTAAATGATTAAGGGGACGCGATAAACAACTTTAACAATTGGCAAAAGGATCTTTCTTTCTTTACTGTGACGCTCTCCTGATTGAGTCTGTTGAAGAATATCTTGCCGAAAAACTAACAGTTAGTACGGATGTCGCCTAAAAGTTCCCGGACTTTTGGTCAGTGATTACAGAAAGGACTGGACCTAGCTATCGCATATTCTATTATTCCCTGAGTGGGGTGGGAGGGGGGCGTCTAAAGGATTTTGAGGGGATCACATGGTTTTCGGGGGGAACAGAGGGTGGATCAGTCGTTACACACAGAGTATCAAGAGGGAGACTATAGAAAACTGGCTATCAATGAAGTGAGGGGTCAAGTAAATTCTACTGTGACACAGCCAAAATCCTCTCACCCACCACCCGCCAGGCCAATAACTGGTCCCGAAATTAAAGAGTTTCTATTTTCGGAAGCGTGCTCCAAAATATTTCAAATCCGGTAATATCCAGTTTATCTAAAAACATAGAGACAAAACAAATCATTCTCTCTTTTACCTTGGGCAGTTAAATTTTTTAAATCGCTCACAATGAATGCATTTTGAGATCTGGGATAGCACAAAAATTTTTCCCACAAAACCTGTCCTAGCGGATGAAATAAGCAAACGCACATTTCGTTATTCCGATTCAATTAATCCTTCCTATACGCCCTCTAATGTTCTATTCCTCTACGGATTTTGATGAATGACATCCGTATATGTAATTAACAGGACTAAACATATATATATTACTAAACAAAGTAATATTTTTCATATTGATTTTAGATATATGAAATTCATATATTTGCACTGCGGTGAAGAAACGAATGTAAGAGATACTCGCAGCTAAGAACACTACTGTGGTAGTACGGTATCGCAGAGGTCATGGGTTCAAATCCCGTACGCGCCTGAATTTTTTTCTGGTCCTATTTTCAACTACTCGTTTCAGTAGTGTTCTTAGCTGCGAGGATCTCTTACATTCGATTTTTCATATTGTTGTAGCTCTCAGGGACTACAACAGTAGTCTGATATTTCCTTCACTGAACAATATCTAGAGTTAGTAATTAAGTATTTCGGACAGAATTAACCACTGAACAGCATCATTAGGGGCTTCGTTTGTTTGTTTTTTTTCTTTAGGTGCCATTATGTAGCGCTTGTATGAACAGTTCCGGCTCTATCTCAGAACAATGTTAAACACACGCACCTAAGGGTTTTCATCCTATGCTTTACTTCATTTCCGATTTTTTTAAAGTTTATCAAAGACGATCTCCTCGCAAATCATGGTCTGTATTAAAGGTTCTTAACCAATGCTTGGAACTATTGATAACCATGGGATAAGGGGGGAGGAGGAGGGGAAATGATTCGTCCTGCCTCATGCCAAGGCGTGAGCAGATCTTGGAACGCAATACTTGATGGTCAGACTGCTAACGCAAGCATTTTGGTTGCAACAGTCCTAGAACGTCGATCGCACCGCGCTCAAAAAATGGGAGAGACCACCGCGGATGAATTCCCCGGGCTATCCCTACATAGGTATTTACCGCTCCAAAGGGTTTGGGTAATGTACCTCTACCAAAAAGTTAACAATTTTCTGTAGGAACTAACAGAACTGATTTTTGAAAAGGATACTATGAAATAATGTTCGGGCCTTTTTAAGGGCTTATGTAGTATGCATGGACCGTGAAGTAGATCAGCTCAGCTTTAGTCAGCTCGCCTTCGTTTACCCCTGAATAGTTGAAGTACCTCTAAATTTGAATGTTCGTTTAGCAGTTACCTCGTTTTGCCATCCTAAGCAGTTCTGCATGCCTACTGTTACCTACATGCACTCTTTGAACAGTGCCTTTTCATATCGAATGTAAAATACATGAGCGTGCGTTTAATTCTAAACAGCGACGATTAAAAGGATTTGTTGACCCTGAGCATAGTAGATGACCCTCGTTGTTCTATAATTCAGGAGATCATCTCGAGAATAAAGACAGTCAAGCAGGCACGGACTCCCCATGAGGCTTTCGTGGTCGCGTCGCATTATCGCCTTCAAATCATATTTTTGCTCTCACAACCATGAGAATAAAGAACTTTGCCTCTAGACAATCGGTTCTTAAACATACACAAAAGCCAAAAGGTCACGAACGTTTAATGCCTTTTGTTACAATGTACCACCTGGCAGTTAAAAATTTGAAACAAATAATGATGGAACATCGGAGTCTGATATACAATCAACCCTTACTAAAAACAGTTTTTAGAAAACCTCCGATTATCTCTTACAAAAAGGGAAAATCCCTTAAAGACATGCTTGTGAGAGTAAAATATAATTTGAAGGCGATAATGCGACGCGACCACAAAAGCCACATGGGGAGTTCGTGCATGTCCGTCTTAACCTTTATTCTCAGAATTCGACTATTTTACTGGAAAAAGGACCCCACTAAAACAAGAACTCAGCCTTACTGAAGCTTCAAATCTCAAAGATCAACCTTTGTGAAAAAGAGATTCGCAAGTTGGAAAGTCCTCTGTTTGGTGGCCGTAATTTGACTGAGAGGAACGCTTTCAACTAAAATTATAGAGCCATGTACAGGAAAAGAGCAATCGGTAAAGCGATGATTTGGAACCCCAGTCCCTCCTCCTCGGGAGGGTCGATTGAGGACCGCACTCGAGAACGCGGCGTTGAACGAGCCTCTTTCATTCGTCGCTAGTAAATTCTTCGCAACAACAGATTATAGCTTTTCTATTTGGTATTCCAAGATGTAAGACATCCATCGTGCTTTACTGTCTCTCTACATTGATCTTACTCCCGCTTCACTCAAGAGGACTACTAATTCTCCAGTTGTGCTTTTGATAAATTATTCGCGAGACACAGTCACGATAGGAGTCATGAATGAAATTGTACGCAAAACACATTTCATCTGCACTGATTTCCTTTTATTTTTCATCGCTTATTTCTTCCTTCCAAACAGCAACAGCTCGCTAAAAACAATTTCCATCTCCGCTGACGACGACTTCTCGCCTTTGAGGAGGTATAGTTTCAAATATCATAATTTTTTCACTTCATACGTTAACAAGTATATAAAAACAGGCTGTAAATACAAAAATACAACAGAAAAGACTGAAACGAGCTGTATAACGAAGTAATGTGTGACTAGCACAGTTTATAGACTGTACGATTTTATGCTACTATCTGTGTCGGTAGATTAATTATAGTAAATTAATATAAAACTAAGTTATATTACTGGCGTAAAATTTACATTATATATATCACTGACTGGAAGAAATTATGTAGTCTGCGTGTAGCCGTACCCTCCCCCCGCCAAGGTGAAACGGAAGCGAAGCAACTCGCTTCCGTTTCACTATCGGGGGAGGGTACGCCAACACACAAGCTAGAAATTACGCCGTTAGTTACTAAAATCTTACAATATATACGTTACCGACTGGAAGAAATTACGTCGTTAGTTAAAATTAAAATTTACATTATATACATCTCCGATTGAAAGATGCAGACTATAAAATTTTACGCCGTTAACTAACGGCGTAAATTTTTCAGTTATATTTTTTACCGTAAGATTTTACGCCAGTAACTAATGGCATAATTTCTTCCAGTCGGTAATGTATCTACAAAAAGATTTTATGCCGTTAAAAAACCTTACAGTACATACGCCGACGCAGATCGTGGCGTAAAATCGTACAGTCTACAGACTGTGTTAGTCACATATTACACCGTTATCTAATTACCGTTTCACCATATATTTTCTTCTAACAACTTGCAATGTTTGCCCCATAGCGATACCAGAAATCTTTGCGCAAACATAAGCATCCGATTTCTGGCACTCATTCAATGCCAGTCATGCTGAAAATCATACTGACAATTACCATAACGCGTCCTAGCCA